CAAACATTACATACATACTTGCATTAAAATAAAAAGAATAAATTTTATTGAAAGGAACAGTGAAGGCTTAATTTTTTGATCAGTTTTGCTTGTCTATATCTGGCAATGTGAACAACGACTTTGAAGATAACAATATGCAATATAACAACCACTCTTGATTTCCTATTGTCTTATTCTGAAATTCTGTATCATTACTGATGTTTTTTATTCTCTTTAAAATTAAGCAAATAAACTTTAAAGTGAACAATCCACTCACTATAGATTTGGCTTTGGACTGATTTTCTTGGGAGAGACACACTGATTTAGATAAATAATTTTATTGTTTTCTTTCTGATGCTCAAGGAATTCAGACAAAATAACAAACCTACACTCTGTTTGAAATAAATAGTTGTAAAATGTCCTCATCACTCTTTATGGCAGTGTGGCACTCCACTGTGCGTAAATACCACATTTTCCTTATCCATTCATGGGTTGATGAATATATATGCCGTTTCCAAGATCTATCTGTTATAAACTGTGCTGCTCTAAAGTGGGTGTGCATTATTCCTATAATATGAAGGGAGAGTAAAGAGATAGATATTTATATCTCTATTTATACCCACCTATATCTATCTATACCTGCCTATATCTACCTGTATCTATATAGAATAGGAATATCTCTAGGAAAGGTATCTATAAGGGGGCAGGTGGCTCAGACGGAATTTCTAGTTTTAGTTTTTTGAGGAATCTCTACACTAAAGAAAGATAAACTCAAAGCATTTATAGGTAAATGGATGCAACTGGAGAATATAATTTTAAAGAGACAAATCAAACATACGAGCTCAAGTATCACGTGGTATCTCTTATATGAGAAACACAAACCATATACATACATGTACAAATAAAGAGCAAAATAGAAGGGAGGTAAATATAAAGTAGGGAGATGTTCAAATACTTCCCCAAATTACATATTCCACTGCTTCAAAAGTACTTTAATATATATGCTAATTTGTTTAATTTATAGTATTATGACTTTATCTTAGGTCACTGAAAAGAAAGTTTCATGTATATTGTTTATATTTTTTTTGTAAGAATCTTTTTGGCTTATGTCTAAACCAAAACTAACTACTTTGATGATAACAATATTTATTGTATAAACTACTGTTACTTATTCTTTGTTCTGAAATTTATTTTATTTTTTTCATAAAATAAAAAAAGTCCTCATCACTGGTCTTTTCCTAAGATCCTCAAATACTCTAGAAGTAACTTTCCAAATCAACTGGTAGCATTAATAGAAGTATAGTAACTCATGAAAAAATGCAAGAACTGTGGTAAAATTTTATTCTGGGACCAGCATTCCCAAATCATGAGTAACCATTATCTACATAAGTCACTTAAAAAGACACCCCTCACCAACTACTGCCCAGATGTTGACATCAGCAGATCTTTACAGAAAGGCGGAACGGTCTTTGTGATGTCATCTTGTTCTTTAGGGATGCTCTACAAGCCTTCGCTGTGTCTTTTAACATGTTTCTCATCTTTATTAGAAGGATAAAAATTATTAGAGGGTCATTTCTTACAAAACACTAGGAATTCTCTCTGAGAGGAAAATAAAGACAAAATGATTGCAGTTGTCAGATATAAAGTTATAAAGTATATAAAATTACAAAGTTTTGAAAAGACAACCATAGTATTTTATTATGTTAGTAAAGAAACTTACAACCTCACTGATAGCATAAATAAACACACACGTGGAAGTTTCGTTCCTTGATATATACATGCTGCTTTCATGTGCTTGCTTTGGCAGCACACATGCATAATGCTTTCAGTCTAACACCTACTTGCCCTTTGTAAAAGCAAGTGACATTACCCACCGTAAAGAATATAAAGTGATGCCGACAGGAACAGACTAGCAAATACTTTCTACAAAATTTTGTATCTTTTTCCTTGCATTTGTCTTTGATGATTGTTTTATTTTAGACAGTATTATTTTAATAAAGTCAAAGTAAGGGAAAATATGTTGACTTAAAAATCTTACTTCCAATTTAAAGATACTCAAAAGGTACCATGGCCTTTTACTTAAAATAACTTAAAAATCTGTACATGGCATGAGGTATTCATATAATAGAGGAAAATTGCCTTAGGACCTAGAATCAAGTCCAGAGAATATAAGACCCAAATTTACTCCAAAAGAATATGTAATATGTATACTTAATAAAAACACAAGTGAAATTATTTATGTAAATATAAGGATCATTTTTAAAAAATATTAGTTCTCCATGTATACCATTCTTACTAAATTTATCATTTTCTCAGGTAGCATTTATTTTCCAGATATACCCCAAAGCCCTAATTTACATCCCACTGTTTGGGGTATGTCTTGGTTACTTTTCTCTCCTTGCTGAGACAAAATACCCAACGCCCAAAACGAAGGAAGGAAAGGTTTATTTAGCTCACAGTTTGTGGAGGTTTCAGTCCATACTTGGCTGGCTCCAAGGCAGAGGATAGCAAAGCAACAAGAGCAAGGGGGGAATGGCAGCCGAACAGCAAACAGCCAGAGCAAACCGGAGGAATGGCGGCAAGCAGCCTCTTTCCCTGCCTTACATTGTAAACAGGCTACCCCCACCTAAGGGGCGTGTAGCTCTCACATAATCACCATGCCCTCCTCTTCCACAGGCTCAGGATGTACACAAAGTAAGTATCCTGGCTTCCTGCTGAGTCACTTAGCCAAACCTCTAGAATCCCCAAGTTGACACAATGTTTCAACCATAACAGGGTATTTTAAGAATGAAATAACTAGGAAAATGCAAGTTAAAAATATTTTATTTTTACTGACAAAATTGATTAAAATTTTAAAAATTATTATTAATTAAAATGTGGCAAAGTGGATAAATTTATTTTTGACTTTAATTTTATTATATTTATGAAAATGATTAAAATTTGGGTTCTCTGATCCAATGTTTATTAAAATCCATTTTTTTCTCAAAAGGTCCTGCTTAGGCAGTACACAGAATTTGAAATGCTTATCCCTGAAGCATAATAGCAAAACAGAAAGAAAGAAACTATATTTAAATAATTAAAATGGGTTAGATTTATGGGTAATTTTTGTTCTGATATTTTTTTCAGAATTTAAAACACATATATGTATTTGAGAGGTTTATAAATAATTATTTTAAGTGGACAAATTTTTTTTGGTCTTTTTTTGAGACAGGGTTTTGCTATGCAATTCAGGCTGGCCTTGAGCCCACTTTGTAGCCCAGGCTAGCCTCTAACCTGCAATGCTCCTCCTGCCTCAGCCTCCCAAGTGCTGGGATTACAAGCGTGTGCCACCATGCCCGGCTAAGTGGACAAATTGAGGGTACATCTTTCTATACAATACTATATGGCTCTACCTCATACCGATCTACAGAATGATCCACAATATAGATATGCATCAATTTATTCATTTTTACTGCTTGGATGAACACTTTGATTATTCCCATGTTCTCACAACTTAGTTTGAAATCCTGACAGTGGGAAACAGACAAAAGCAAATTAAAACAACAAAATGCCATTCTTAAAAACTTGCCAAATTAGTAAAGATTTTCAATTATTTGGTTGGGTTGTCACTTTTATTATATATATAACATCTTTGGAGAGAATTTAGGCAGTAAGCATCAAGAATCTTGAGAGTATTTATTTTTTTCTATTCAGTAATTACATATTAAGGACTCACCAGTCAGCACTTGATAAAAATGAAATAAAAGCATATCTTTCATCTATCTGTTCCTTACAAAAGCTTTATCCAAAATAGGAGAATGGTTAACTAATAAAATTTATTAAATTTAATATTCATAGCCATTAGACCTCATGATCAATCAGCAAGAGTCACTAAAAAGAGGAAAGGCTCAAAAATAATTATGAGTAAGTTGAAGACATAACCATACATATAAAATATACAAACTTAGGATAATAAAACTCTCCAGAGAGCAATTTTTAGTGGTTATTTCTGAATGGGGAGAAGAGAGATAGATCTTTATCTACATCTGTATCTTCATCTATATGCATATCTATATTTCTACATCTATATGCATATCTGTATTTCTACTGATTAGTGTTTGAACATATCTTCTACAATGAGTATTTTTTGCCATCAATATAAGAATAGAACAAGAAAGAGAATGGATGTCTGTTTACAAAATTCAACATGTTTCTGGGCTTCATCTATAAAAACAGTCCAAGTTACCCAGGCTCATGGCAAACCCCTTCTCATCTGATTTTATTTTTCTCCACCCACTCTTAACTCTGGTGAGTACCCAACTCGAATACTCGGCACTGTACCACCTGGTCTCCAGTTACGCTGCAATTCCTCCAAATTCCATCCATGTTCTTCCAATCAGGCCTGGGGTGTCTCTTCTCCCCAGGGTTTCTGATCAGAACTTTTGGTTTTAAATATTTTCAGCTGGCTTCAGATATTCATAATGTTCCAAGCCAAGGCTGGGTAATCTGACAAAATCATTTCAGATGCTGATTCTAGTGAACTCAGCCACACTGAGGAGGAAGTCCCTTTTGAAACCAAGAATCCCATCAACTTTTATTTATGAATAAAAATAATCACTAGCATTATCATAACAATAGCAGCTAATATTGAGAGCTTTCTACCAAGAGGAGGTCTGTATCAACGCCTTGATGTTTCATTTATCTCATTTAATGCTCATACTAGCCTTCAATTTCATAGATAAAAACAACAACACATCAATTTAGCCTCTAGTGGGTTATGAATATTTCCAAAGATACACAGCCAGTGTGAGTCTAACATTCAAACCCAGCTCTATATGCCATAATATCTACACTACCAAGTTTGCTTATAGAAAGCCCACCAGGAATCATTTTGTTTTGGATACACTTTGTTAATTAATTCAACTATCATATAGCTAAGCTAAAACGATGTGTTAGGTTACAAGACTGCCTTTATATACAAAACTAGAAACAAAAACAACAAACGTTTCTACTGACTCTCATTACGTTAGTAATGCGTTTACCTGTGTAGGACCATCCAATCTCTTCAACAAGTTTTCTCTGCTGTCTGTAGTATCCATAAGCCCAATCTAAAACCAAGAAAAATGACATGATCAATGTACAGAAAAATGTGTCCCAAAGTTTAGAAATGAGAGATACCCAAGTCTTTCACACCATATATGCTTCGTGGTTTGATTATTCTTTCCCACATCGCCTTCCCAAAGTCTCCCCTCCCCACCAAGCACCACCACTGCTCACATCAAAGCCCCTGTTCAGTAGTGGATGTGAATTTTAGAAGGAACGCTTAAAGAATGTGCAAGTATAGGCAGAAACAAAGCAAATGTTCTGGGTAAACCAGGAATAACTGAGAGGCATCCTCTCAAAGACCAAGTGAATCAGGAAGGACAACTTGTTTTGTCTCCAGTTTTCTAAACATTCTGAATTAATTAAAACTACTTTGGGTTTACAACTCAAGTTTAATCTGTAAATGCTTTTAAGATCCCCAAATGTTATCCTGCTTTCAAAATTTACTTCCCTTCTATAATAAAATTGGCTGTCTTGGGAAGACTGGAATTTAAATGTGTGCCTTTCAGCTGGGAGAAAGGTTATGCTAGACTTTGGAAGTGCTTCCCCTCAGGAGGCACAGCCGTGTGTGTGTGTGTGTGTGTGTTGAAGGTGACACAGCGGGGATGGGACACTAGTCTCTGCAGCAGGAGGCTAGGAAGGCAGTGGCAGCCAAGGTCTCACTGTGTAATTCAAAATTGTGGCTAGAGGCACGCCTGCAACCAAGAAATGGGGATGCTGTGATTCACCCTCCTCCAAGTCCTTGACCCTTAAACCCAGACTCTACTAACATCATTATTCCATTTTAACTGCATTGTCGACAAAATAAATCTTTATGGGCTTATTTAGAACTTAATCCATGTTGACAGGAGTGTTTCTGTAGAAAATAAATTTACTACTGAACATTACTTTTAAATTGGGCTAAGATAACTGTACTACTAATTCTCTGGGTTTATTGAAAGGAACACTTAATGTGTAATTGTTCGATCCACCTTACTTGCCTAGATCTGGTTATCTGAGCAACCAATCTGAAGATAATAATATGTAATACAACAACCGCTGTTAATTTCCTATCATGTTGCATGAAATTCTATATCATTTTTATTATTTTTGTGCTGTTTTGTTTATGTCTTAGTTTTTATTAATTAGTTTTTATTCTTTTATCTTTAAAATATTTAAAAAAAATAAATTGGGGTTCTGCCAATGTAGCTTTCATCTGCATACACCCAAGTACACACAACACGATGGTTGCATGATTAGCTGGAGAAAGACAGAAGTATCTCTTACTTAGTCTTCATAATAGTTTTCTCTACATTGACAATTCCCAATTATTTCTGGGATGCAAGTAGCTTAAGGACATTTCAAAAGCATCATTTTCTCTTTCATGTTATCCTCTCTGATTAGTACAACATCATAGTAAATAACTTGCAAACTGTTTTATAAAAGTTAGAAGGCAGACTAGCTGTCAGAAATTCACAGATTTGTAAAAGCCAAAATTTACTTTGGAGAAATAAAGGTTTTGTTTTTACCAGAAATTTTTTAATAAATATATCTAAGTAAATATTCTCTTAGCTGTGTTGCACAGTTCAACAATTTTCAACAATAATTTTATTAAAATAAAATTTACATATCCTACAACTCACCCGTAAAAGTTCAATGGTTTTCACTATATGTATAGACCATTACTGCACACAATGTTATTTTTATTTTATTTTTTATTTGCACGTGTTTGTTATACATACTGATCCCATTCATCAAGGAGAATTTGTACCTGTACATAACATATCTCAATTCTTCTTTTCCCATTCCTCTTCACTCTCTTTAACTCTTCCCTTTCTCACTTAAGAAGCTTTGTTTCAATTTTTCCCTTCCATTCTGCTTTTCCTTATCCCTCCTCCCTCTGCCCTCCCTTGTACCCCTTCCCATTTGAACATGCTCTCCTTACTTCCCAATATCTATTCTCTGTTATGCTCCTTACTTACCCTTTGGGATTTTCAAACAAGAGAAACAATGCAATATTTAAATGTGTCTGATTTATTTTCCTTAAGATTTTGGTCTCAATGAGTATTATTTTCCTACAAATGACTCAAGTTTATCTTTATGTTTATGGCAGAGTAGTACTCCATTGTATGTAAATGCCACATTTTTTTAATCCATTTATCTTTTGATGGACATATTTGCCTTTTCCAAGATTTATCTATTATAAATTTTGCTGCTATAAATATTGATATGCATATATTAATGTGGCATGATGCTTTTAACTCCTTTGGGATGATGTCCACAAGAGGAACAGCTGGGTCAAATGGAACCTCTAGTTTTAGTTTTTTGAGGAATCTCCACAATGATTTCCACAGTGGTTGCACCAGTCTACACTCCCACCAGCAGTGGAGAAGGATACCTTTTTCCCCACAGCCTTGCCAGCATTTATTATTGATTGATTTCTTGAAAACAGTCATTTTTTCTGGAGTGAAATGGAGTCTCAGTGTTGTTTTAATCTGAATTTCCAGAATAACTGGTGATGTTGAGTATTTTTTCATATACTAATTTGCTGTTTGTACTTCTTCATCTGATGTCTATTCATTTCAGATGCCCATTTTTAGACCAGGTCTTCAAATCTGGAGAGACAGGTTTGTTTTGGGAGGTTCTAGATATTAGTCCTTTGTCTGAGGAGTAGGTGGTAAAAGTTTTCGCCATTCTATGAGTTCTTTTCACTCTGTTGGTGGTTTCTTTCACTGTGCAAAAGCTTTTTAATTTGATTGCATACAATTTTAGAATAACTTCATCACCCTCAAAACAAACTCTGTAGTTTTTACTACCATCCCATTGCCCTATCTTATCCCCAGACTTAGGCAACCAATATTCTATTTTGTCTATACACAGCTGATTTTTCTGGACTTTCCATATAGAGAGAATCATGCAGTGCATGACTTCTCGTGACCAGCACCATTCATTCTGCATGTTTTCGAAGTTCATGCACCATGCAGTATATACCAGAATTTCATATTTTACTATCTAAGAATATCCCATCGTATGGTGCATGATACAGACTTCAGTTCCACTCAGCTGCTCAGGCAGATAGCCTTCTTCCTGACTGCAGGTCTCTAACCTCTCTTGAAATGTTGCAGAGACAATTAGATAGTCTTAATAGTCATCTGACAGTTTTACAATCCAGACATCTCCTTAAGAATCTAGGAACCTTGTCTTTGAAATGCAGTCATCAAAGAAAACAGCACCCTTAAGCTCCCAGTTTCAGTGGGAGGGCAGGAGCCTAGCTTCAGTGGGAAACCTTCTCCCACGGGGCAAAAATATGAGTTTATTTTTCCTTTGGAAAAAAAATCAACTAGCAAGAACAGATGGCCTGTGACCTTCCCAGACATCCTGCAGTACTTTTCCACTAGCACATTACACCTTTTAAAAGACCTTAACCCTTGCGCTTCAGAGGAGATGAGTTCAGACTTGGTTCTGGCTTCTTTCAACTGCTGCAATAGTCTTGAACAAAGTCTTCGTTGCTTGTTTAAATTGCCAGTTGCAATTTTAGCTTTGACACTGGATGCACCATATTTTATTCATCTATTCACCAATCAATGGATACTTCTGTTGTTTCCACTTTGGGGCTATTATGAATAATGCTGTTATAAATAGTCACACATATTTGTGTTTTTATTAGGTTTGCAATTTATTTTACAAATACAATTGTCTCTTTCAAAGGTGATCATTTAAATTAATGTACATTATGGGAGTAAATGTTTCCTTGTGATAATGAAATACATACTGTTGAATGTTAGAGAGGCCTTCAGATGTCTTTTGACTCAGAATTTCTCAGTTTAGAAAAACTGTAATCCTTATTTGAGAAAGAAAACAATTAAGCCAAAGAGATGCGCTGGTGTGCATAGGCAGTCACTGAAAAGCTTGGAAACTAATGCATAGCTCCTGCTTTCAACTCCACCGATCCCTCTGAGAACTAAGGGTTCCTAACAGTCCTGGACAGGTCAGTTACTCCTCCAAGGTGTTTTCACTGGAGCTAGTATGCCTTCAAGAGAAACAAAATGAAGCAAAGCAATACCGGAAACCAGAGGTTCACTAGCTGAAGTTGTTTGAACAAATAAGTTTATAAAGCACTGACTGTATATTTGATTTGATCTGGCAATCAAATGAAATTTTTTGCTGAACTGTCCACTAGCCATGGAGAAAAGATTTGTTGTTCACTTTTATGTATCTTAAATGTAAATATTATTTAAATGTGAGACATCTGTCTTATAAATGCATTTTGATTCCTTCAGAAGATCAGAAACAAAATGTATTTTTAACAAGTATTCCACTAAGTTAAAACAGCAGTAAGCGTTTGAATGATTCGTTCTAAAGGATAATAGTAAACTGCCAACCAATTTTTAGCTTTCCTTACTGTAGGTTTTTATTGCTACACAAAGAGCATTTGTCCTTGATCTCTAATTACTCATGTGAAGCGAGCTTTCTTAATAAAAGATGACCAGGTGTTGGTCCTCTCTTCAGTTCCCTTACATATTGTTCCCTTAATTGTCCCTTCAAACAATCCAGTTCCACATTCATATGCTAGTTACGCGGGCATGAGAGAGCACCGGCGTTTACAATTCTGCTCAGAGACCCAATAGATGAGATGTGATAGCTCCAATGAACAAGAAAAAAGAGGCTACGTTCACTTTTTTGTTGCATTGTATACTTTGAAGCCAGTAAATCCTGTATAAGACAGGACCTATCAAAGTGCTTCCACATTTTAAAATCCAATGAACTAATATAGAATGCTTGTCCTGTTTGATAGATTGTAGCTTTTTTTGTATATTTTAGTTTTTTTATTTTGTTTCTTTCTGCTTAAAGGATTCGAGTGGTATTTTCTAGTTTATTTTGCAGTGAAGAAACCAGGAAACTTCAGGAAGAGCTTATACATATGATCTGCAACAAAGGTACTACAGCAATGGGTCTTTCCTTAAGGCTACTCTAAAACTGGTAATGAAAAAAATATTTTTCATGAAGTGGCTTTTGAATTTGTTAA